GCTGCTATGGTCAGGGAATTGCCTGAGGATCTCTCGCCTGGTTTGCAGCCACTGAGGGCGGTGGAGAAACGCCTGATGCTGTTGTGAAGTGAAAGTTGCTTCACCCCAAAGGCTTGTAAATGAGAAGGTGGTTTTATATATATATTTAAATCTTGTGATTTTGGGGGCCTGACTTGTGATTTTTTTGCTTGCGCAGGGTTAGTCACGCTGTACAGTAGCTGGCTGTGGTCAATGTGTAAGGTCAGTTTGTGCCAGGGCAGGTTACAAGGGGTCGCAGACCCAGCAAAAATAAGGTTTTAAATCAGTCTGGGTCACTGAGGGGTGCACTTTAAGTATTGTCTTTCTAAAGCTGCTGCTCCTAGATTATGATAGATCCCCACAAACTTTATTCAGACCACTTTAAGAACTGGTTGAGGTGAATCCTTGCTTCCCCTTCCCACAAAGGCCTTGGCTGCACAGCTACTTAGACTATAAACTCTGTGGGGCAGGGACTGTCTTTTTGTACTGTGGGGTCCTAGTCCATGATAGGGGCTCCTAGACCCTACTGCAATACAAATAATTAATAATAATATATCACTCTCTCATAACAGCATCTGGGCTACAGATTTATAACCTGTTGTAACCTGGTCATTCCATAAATATGTGGAAACTGAGTCCCCTGACTGAGTTATAACTGGAGGAAGATGGGGCTTTAGTCTCTCTTTACATGATGGCAACAATAGACCAAGTTCAGCTATCTGGTGCCCTTGCTTATCAGACACCAAATAAATCCATTAAAGAAAAATGCTTTAATATTATTCCTATCTCTGGATATTTGTAAGTCTCAGCCTAGTAAATGCTTGTACCAGACTCCAAGGCCTCAACCTGGGCTTTGTGGTTCCTTGTAAACTGATTCCTTAAAAATTCAGATACAATTTCAATTAACGATTGAATTCCTCAACTGTCTCTGGACAAAGAGAGGCTGCAGCGTACAAAACAGCCCTAATACAGGCAAACAAACATTTATTTAACCCATTGCCTTATTATTTAGACAGCACCATACATGTGAATGGTATTTTATAAAACATATAAACAAAGCTCCACATATTCTGTGATTCTGCAATATCAGCTTCAGTTGCTGCCACGGAACCATGCTCCAGAAAATCAGCTTTTGTTTAAAAAATGTAATTTCTAGCTCTTACATTTGGGAAAATAATCTCAAAACATGACCTGTGTGTAAGGGCTTGCCTACATTGAAGTTATGCCATAATAGCTATTCCCAAATAACTATTCCTAAATAGTTCCATGTGCGGACGCTCTTACTCTGCACTAAGAGTGTCTTGTTCTCCATTAGTTTAATGCAGTGGATTAAGATAATTTGGAATAAAGCATGTTTATTCCAGAATAAGAGTGTCCACATGTGAGTTAATTGGGAATAGATAATCCTATTTTAATTCATACCCTATTTTATTCCAGATTAATTTTCATGTGTAGCCAAACCCTGGCCTACATAATGCCCATTTGAATCTGTAAAGAACCTCTAACAATGGCTCTAAGAGAGAGGTGGGTAAACTAGCTAGCCCCCAGCCCCTCCCCTGCTGTCCCCCCTTCCCAACAGCCATACGGGGAGCACTCTGACCCACCGCTCCTGCCGGGCTGTGCGGCTTGTGCCCGCCCACCTCCCAGGCTTTCCAATAAGCCAGTCCTGCCGCTCTGAGCGGCATGGTAAGGGGGCAGGGAGCGAGGGGATTGGATAAGGGGTAGGGGGTTCTGGGGTGCAGTCAGGGGACAGGGAGTAGGGGGGTTGGATAGGGGGCAGGGGTCCCGGGAGGGGGCGGGCAGGGGACAAGGAGGGAGGGGGGGTTGGATGGGTGGGCAGTTCTGAGGGGGGCAGTCAAGGGGCGGAAAGTGGGAGGGGGCAGATAGGGGGCGGGGCCAGGCTGTTTGGGGCGGCACAGCCTTCCCTACCCGGTCCTCTATACCATTTCGTAACCCCGATGTGGCCCTCGGACCAAAAAGTTTGCCCACCCCTGCTCTAAAAGATGTAAACTGCCCCGGCCATCTCACTCGAGGCCTGTCAGGTCCTGGACTCTGCAGCTGTGGAATCTTGCATTTTTCCAAGATACCACAGAAATCCGCATTTTTCTGCTGAATTTATCATTTTCCTGCTGCTAGATGCTGAGCTTTTTGATTTCTGTCTCCCTACCCTGCTGGGACCTGCCCGCAGTTGCCTCTTGCTCTCCAACTTTCTTCACAGGAGGGAGGTCATTGGATTACATGTTTTCAGTGAGGAGGGGCAGGAATGAGACAGGGAACAAGCGCTAGAGTTCAGCTAGGGAGTGTGGGGAGTCTAAAATGCAGGCTGGGCCGCTAGGCAGCCTAGAGACCAGAACAGCAGCCAAGGCATGGGGAGCCGAGAAGATTATTTGCTGATGCTGACTACAAGTTCCCCCCTTTCCTAGCTCACATAGGGTGTAGGAAGGAAATTCTAAGCCAAGCCACTCAGACAACATTGTAACTGCTGAATTCCATAGAGCAGTGTCAAATTAATGATCTGGAGGATGGCATGGACTGCACTCTCAGCAAGTTTGCAGATGACACTAAACTGGGAGGAGAGGTAGATATGCTGGAGGGTAGGGATAGGATACAGAGGGACCTAGACAATTTAGAGGATTGGGCCAAAAGAAACCTGATGAGGTTCAACAAGGACAAGTGCAGAGTCCTGCACTTAGGACGGAAGAATCCCATTCACTGTTACAGACTAGGGACCGAATGGCTAGGCAGCAGTTCTGCAGAAAAGGACCTAGGGGTTACAGTGGACGAGAAGCTGGATATGAGTCGACAGTGTGCCCTTGTTGCCAAGAAGGCTAACGGCATTTTGGGCTGTATAAGTAGGGGCATTCCCAACAGATCCAGGGATGTGATCATTCCCCTCTATTCGACACTGGTGAGGCCTCATCTGGAGTACTGTATCCAGTTTTGGGCCCCACACTACAAGAAGGATGTGGAAAAATTGGAAAGAGTCCAGCAAAGGGCAACAAAAATGATTAGGGGGCTGGAGCACATGACTTACGCGGAAAGGCTGAGGGAATTGGGATTGTTTAGTCTGCAGAAGAGAAGAATGAGGGGGGATTTGATAGCTGCTTTCAACTATCTGAAAGGGGGTTCCAAAGAGGATGGATCTAGACTGTTCTCAGTGGTACCAGATGAGAGAACAAAGAGTAGTGGTCTCAAGTTGCAGTGGGGAAGGTTCAGGTTGGATATTAGGAAAAACGTTTTCACTAGGAGGGTGGTGAAGCACTGGAATGGGTTACCTAGGGAGGTGGTGGAATCTCCTTCCTTAGAGGTTTTTACGGTCAGGCTTGACAAAGCCCTGGCTGGGATGATTTAGTTGGGAATTGGTCCTGTTTTGAGCAGGGGGTTGGACTAGATGACCTCCTGAGGTCCCTTCCAACCCTGATTTTCTATGATTCTATGAAATGAAGAACACAACAAAATCAATCTATCATTGAAACTAAACATTCAAGAATTGTAATTCAGAGACTATTTTCAGCTCAAGCTGCTGCTGTTGGATGACTGGGGATGGGGTATTTCCTGGGTATACAATGAATTATTATAACAGCTGCCACTTTGTGTGATACCAAGGGATGAACTGGGGACCTCCAGAGCACAAAGCATGCATTATAACAGACTAAGCTAGAGAACCAGGATAGCTACCTAAGCTCTATAACATATCCTCTGTGGCTTGGGCATAGATAAGGTCACATAATACATTGTTTAGTAGGTTAAATTAACATTGCTGCAGAATTAGGGAGTCCTTGCAATTTAATTTAGGGGGCCTAGCCACAGAATCTGGTCCTAGTGCACCCTGAAGTAGACAGGGCCCTGTACACAATTCCTTTGTATTCTGAAGCAATCCGCATGCAATGGTGCCTGCTATCTGCTTTCTCTGGTGCAGGAAGGTGGGAATTCTGTAGTTAATTCAGACAAATTCAAAAATTGTTTTCTTTACTGCATTAAACATGAAAAAAGAATATGAATATAGTATCCCATTGTTTATTTTTATATTACATATGAGGGTTTGTCTACACAGCAGGTGGGAGGTGTAATTCCCAGCTCAGGTAGATGTACATGCACTAGTTCTGTTCAACTAGCACCTAAAAATAGCTGTGTGGTTGCAGAGGTTTAGGCTAGCTGCCCATGTGCAATCTCACCTGCCACTCTATGTGTGGACTCAGGCAGCTAGCCCAAGCTGCTGTGGCCACACTGCTGTTTTTAGGTGCTAGTTCAAGCAGAGCTAGCATGTGTACGTCTACCCAAGCTGGGAATTACACCTCCTTCCTGCTGGGTAGACATACTCCAAATGATTTGAAGGTGCCCCTGCTATTATATGTAAAACTAGCCACACTCAAATACTTTCCCCGGTGATATATAAACAAAAAAGAAATCCAGTTTAAATGACTGGTTAAAAATTACGTAAGTGCAGCATTTATTCAACCCAGCCCAGAGCCCTTCAATAAGTGTGGTGCACTGTGGCCTTTATCTATGTTTCATGCAATGGTGTTGCTTTTTCCCTGAGGCAATATGGTGTCCAGGAAACGAATGTGATGATGATAAACTGGGTTCCACTGTATGCAATTCAAGGATCAAAGCATTTGCAAAGGGATATCTATATACATATGTATGGAGGACCAATGTTTATCTGAAGGTGAATTATTTGCAAAAAAGTGTACTGTGCATTTCAAACTCACAGGAGTCAGGCTGAAGTGAATCTATTCTACCACCACATTCAAATTAAATTTAGGACTAAATCTTGAGGCAAAACACTAGATATTGAAATGTATGGTTCAAACCTGCACTGGCAAGCAGGCCTGGTCTAGTGTCTCTCCATCTAGGTGGTATCCCATCCATGTACCCAAACTTCTTTAGCTTGCAATAGCCAACAAGATCACAGCACAAGGTGCCATGGCAGCAGATGGATAAAAGCCATTAAGTTACAAACAGTACATCCTATCATTTGTACACAACAGATACCACCTCAAAAAGATCCCTTTCAGATGCAAAAGGAAAGGGATAGTCTTTAATGGCTGTTAAAAATGCCATCTTCAATCTGCTGCTGGCTAGAAGACTGCACCCCATCCTGTAAAGCGCTGACCTGGCCATTATATTTTACATTTTCACACTCTCCAGGTTGGATTACTGCAGCTCACTCTAGCTAGGAATGAGCACCCCAACATTATAAAAAGCATGAATTGGTCCAGAATGCAGCAGCCCACCTCCATACTGTCATTAGTTGCTGAGAGTACCTCACCCTGGCACTCTGCTCACTATGCTCAGGGCCGGCTCTGGCTTTTTGGCCGCCCCAGGCAAAAAAAAACCCCTAGCGGCGCGGCTGGAGCGCGGGTGCAGGGGGACCGGCTGGGGGGGAGGGGGGGAGGCGGGTGGGAGAGAGAGAGAAGGGGGCGGCCAGGGCTACAGCAGGGACGCTGCCACGCGGCCCCTCCCGCTGCGCCGCCTCCTGCCGCGAGGGCTCTACTCCGGTCGGCGGGGAGGAAAGGAAGAGGACTGCCCTGCAGGGTGCTCCGATCCTCTGCGCCGCCGCCCCCTACAGGGCGGCCAGAGCGGAACACACACACACCCAAAAAAAGCAGCCGTGCCACCCTAGGATTGGGCAGAATGCCGCCTCAAACACTCTGCCACCCCAAGCACCAGCTTGCTCAGCTGGTGCCTGGAGCAGGCCCTGACTATGCTGCTGTGTTATGGGGAGCTGGTTCAGATTCCACCTCTGCACTAATTTTTTTAAAAACTCTTTATTTAGGAAGTTTGAACAGGTTTATAAATTTTTGCCATGTAAATATCAGAGACAAAACAATAATTATTATAACAGTTAGCTTTTCGAGAAACATTATTGCCACTTACAAAGCTAATCTTAAGCCTCACTTCTTCAGCCAAAGCTTTTCCACAGCCATAAAGCAATGTTGAAAATAGTTTAGCTGATAGG